AACAAATCAGAGATTGAGGAGAAGAGAGGAAAGAAGAACGGAAAATAGAGGTTTTCAAACTGGAACAAAAAAAAAAGAAAAAGAAAAGAACAGATTACAAATTGAAGAGAAGAAGAGAAAAGAAGAAGAGAAAATAGAGGTTTTCATATTTGAACTGGAACAAAACAAAAAACAAATAAAAAATTAAAAAAAAAAAAGAACAGATTAGATCGCCGATCGCCTTTCATTTTCGAACTGGAACAAAACAGAACTGTTTGAGGAGAAGAAGAGGAAATCAGAGGAGAAGAAGAGGAAAGAAGAAGAGAAGAGAATATCTGACCTCGATCGCCGATCGCCTTTCAGTGTAGATCGTCGCTCGTCGCTGTTGGTTGGACGATGGAGAAGATCGCATCGTCGTCACTGTCACTGTTAGTAAATGGGTAGTGTTTTTTGGGGGAGAGAGAGAGAGAGAGAGAGAGAGAGTCTGTCGAAGAAAAAGGTTGAGAGAAAGAGAGAGTGTGGTGTCTTTGTCTGTCTGTCTGTCTCTGATGGGCGTAAGAAATGTAATAAAAAAAATGAGAGTAGCGGACCGATCGGGTCCAGTGGATGAAATAGTGGATCACCTACACCCACGAAAAGGCAAAATCTAGACCCACATCCGCCTGCTAGATGTCACGCATCCACCCATATGGTGTCGGGTCGGGTCGGGTCGGTGGATCCACTGCACAGCCCTAGGGTACGTTGTTTGTTACTTGCAATTATGTCTATTAAATATTTTCATAATATTGGAGGACTAACTTGGGCATGGAGGACTCTCGTCCGTTCAACAGCTGGGGGTAGCTTTATCTTGTTGATGGTGATTAAGTAGAGGTACTGATCATCTTCTTCATTGGGTTTCTTCATCAACAAGTATGAAATTTTCTGTGTTCATATAATTGGCGCTTCAATTTTCAAACTCAAGCCTTAATCCTAACCTCCTAACATTAACCACCATCGGCCTTCTCCCTAAACTATTCCAAGCCCTCCTCTACCCTCTCAGGCCACCATTTATTAGGGGAGGCCATGGGTCCAATGGCCTGCCCGACCTAACTCGATATTCTTAGGGCTTGAGAAAAATATTTAGTCTATAGGGCCGAGTTAGGTTGAGATTTTAAAATAATCCAATTTTCAACATGAACTTAGAATGAAGAGGTTTAGCCCAACCAGCCTGACCCACCCATTTATGAAATTTTAATTTTAATGTTTATATTACTAGTTCCAAAATAAGCTAGAAAAATAATAAAAGATAACAAAAAAATTTATATATACACTTATTTTTTAAAAACTTACATTCAAAATTCATTCAAATATCATATTTATTTTATAGTTGAATTTTGTTAGTATTCTAAATTCAAATGATTTTTGAAAATATTTAAATAATTTAGTAGTTCTTTAAGATAAAAATAAATGAATAAATGAATAACTCATATCTATTGAGTTAAATGGGCTTGAGATTTAGAATTTTAAGACCGTGTTTGGGATTGCTAGATTAGGCTCAATGTTGGGTTGGGCAAGTCCAGACTTCGGATAACACATATACTGTTACTATAAAATACAAGCCCGACTTGAAGTTGGTTCAACTTGGTGTTTGTCCACTATACCAGCACTATATTCTTTACCTTTTCTCGACTATCCCAACCCCTTCCTCTGCTATTTATAACTACATCATATTTGTTCAATTGTAGTTATGTAAACAAACAGTATTGGTTTGATGGTTAATATCTAAACAGAGATGATTGGTCTGACGTTGATAGTTTAAATAGTTAGGGGCTCATGAAGGTTTTCATAGCGATAAAGGGATTCGCAATGGTGGGTTATGGTAGATTAAGAGTTTGCAGCAAAAAGCAAGGTTTATGGAGATTGGTTCGAGTGATAGGGTTCACAGCATGAGGGTTTGCAGTTGTGGAGTTCTCTTTCTCTTGCAGTGTAGGTGATCCCGGGGGTACCGAGCGCGCCAGATAGTACAGACTCACGATCTTTAATCTGGTTTCACTAGTGCAATATGAAACATAAATGACAGTCCAGACAAATTTATAGAAAATCCACTATTCGCAAAATATGCCAGAAATGGACTACATGACTAGATCTCAGAATCGTCACCTAATCTTTTGAAAAAAATAAGGAAACCTATGACTCGTGCCAACGCTGCTATCCGTCATAACCAAAGATGTCTCGGTTCTGGACCTTAGGTATAAGGGGGGAAGGTCATGAATTGAGCATCCCCGCTCACCCAATCAAAAATCGGCTTCTACTAAACTATAATATGAGTTTTATAGACAATATATGCTCATATTCCGATTTTTTTTATTGCTAAAATTACTATGTGAGGCAAGCAAGTATAGACCATGTCACTTATTTTGGGATGCTTTGATCTCATGCATTTTAAAGGAATTTTGAAAAATGTATAACTCAAAGGAAACCAAACTCATATGCATAAAAAAATCAACATCATTCCAACTTAAGCTATATAACCTCCATCCATCGGCAATTATAGAGATAGATCAACTAAGCAAGTAGACGTATGATAGGATGCTAAATATAATCATGTACAAGCGTGATGCTAAAGCTATAAATGCTTACCTAGTATTTACTCCCATCCAACAAAAAGACAAAGAAAAGAGTTAGCAAATTATGTATGATCCTACATGTAGAATACTAATGCAATACACAAAAATGAGACTATACATTCGGCTACTAATGCGTGACATGTAAGTCATCTCAAAGTATGAGATAGTGCATAAAATCACATAGGAAATGAGAGAGTCCATAAAAGCAAATGAACCGAATCCAAATGCATGAAACATGGATGCAAGAATAAGGAATATGATAGAGTAAATATGATGCTATCAACAGGTATGAAAGACATGAAAATAAAAGGTATAGAAAGAAATGGGGATTAGAAGACATATATAGAAAGGGATAGAAAGAAATGGAGGTTGGAAGTTATTACATCAAGCCTTTACAATGAAAGGAATAGAAAGAAATGAGGTTGGAAATTATCACATCAAGCAATTATTCAACAAAATAAAAACTGAATATAACAAATCATAAGGATAGAAGTGACAGAAGCTGCAAGCTCAGGAGATCATCATTTATAAATTGTTTTGTTTGCTGCTAAGGAGTTACTCTGTTTTGGCCCCAAAAAACCATTTGGCCGTACAAATAAATGGTCTGGCCGTACCGTACACTTTATTTGGTCGACGGTATAAAAAAATTAGGAAACCAAAGCAGAGCAAACAAAGTATTTCTAAAGGATGCTCATCCTTTCTAATTCTTCCTATCATGAAGATATTCAAAGGAGATGTAGATTGGCCTCACAAATCATCCAACAACACGAGCTATACGATAACTACAAAAGCTATCAAATGAAAAGACTAACAAGTATGGAAATTGAAGCTAAAAAAAGTCAATCCAAAGAAATAGGTGGAAACCAACATTCATCTCTTCGTAAATAAGAGTAAATTGATACCCAAATCCATACTATTATTTGGAGAAAGTAGATTGCCACAATTTCTAAGAGAGAAGCCTTGTTTGGCTTCCAAGAAAATGAAGAGAGAGCAAAGTAAGACATATAGAACTTATCAAAAGTGGTTGAAGACTGTCTTCTTACTTATGGAATAAGGATGTGCCATCCATTTCCATGTTCAAAAGGGATTGGGAAGAGAGTTTTCAACACTTTTATAAGGAAGCTCTTATAGCTTCAAGAAAATGGAAAAGAACATGAAAGAAAATGCATAAAACCTATCAAGACTAATTGGAAACTCTTCTCCTTACTCATGGAATATGGATGTAACATCCATTTCCATGTTCAAAATGGATTGTGAAGAGAGTTTACAACACTCTTGATAAGGAAGCCCTTGTTTAGCTTCAAGGAAATAGAAATCTAGCAACTCAACTGTGAAAGTAGGACATAGAACACACTACACAAGTCTATATTTAACCTAAATAATTGAAAAACAATGCTGAAAATAAAGTTTAAAGGATTAGAAAGTAAGAAAGAAAGTGTAGGAAAGCAAAATAAAATAAAATAAAATAAAATTACATCCACTAACCATCCTATGGAAGGGTAGCTAAGCTCTCCACATCCACAAGGCTCAATCACATATTTAAGCACACGAAAACTTTGAAAAATATGGTGTTTGGTAAGAAAGCAAGAGAGAGAAAGTTTCAAAGGTTTACCTTTGGAAGGAAGGAAGAACTTTTTTGTTGTCAAACTCTATTCTAATCACCCTCAAAGTTATGGAATATGGCTTGAATTCTCAACAAGAAGCTTTAAGTTGAAGCTTCAATGGTGTTTGCATGATGAGAGAGTTGAAAAAGTGAGAAGCTTTTAGGTTCAAGGTGTTTTTACGTCTAAGGCTCTTAGAATTAATCTTTCACCCTTAAGAATGAAGTGGAAAGGTGATATTTATAGACTCTAAGGGAAATATCTACGAAATTCACCTTAGAAATGCACAGGTGGCAATCCCACGTGCATGGAAGCTAATTTTCTCAAAAATACTCTATTTTCCTAATAACTTATCCAGCCGGTACACTATTGATCCGGCCAACCATTTTCCATCCAACCATAGGTTTTTTGTGTGGCCAAATAGAAAAATTGTATGGCCAGATCAAATATTGTACGACCAGACTATTTTTGAAGGGAAAGTAGGGTTTTCCAGGGAATTATCCTCCTTTCCACTCATCTCTACTTTATTCTTTGCTTGGTTTGCTGAAAAAGTATAACACCTAAAGTTGGAAATGTGAGCTTCAGAGTATTGTAGAGATGTTTAGAACTACATAACCAAAACATTTTGAAGAAGGATTTTTAATAGGTCTAAAGTAACTTAGCCAAAACAGGTGTAAGGTTGTGATTAAAGTTTGAATCTGGCCTTTCTACTGAGGAATTCGAAAGATAGCACATCGCAACTTTTATCATCAGGTTTTTAGAATAGAGCGCCTAAATCTTAAGGCCGATCAAAATGAGACGTCTACATGCAGTAATGGCTAACTGGGTTGGTCCAAGGCTGATGGTAGCAAATTGGAATGGTGAAGGAGCTGGGTGTTAGTGGTGGTCGTTAGGTCATAGTAGTAGGAGTGGCTGGTTAGGATTTCACTAAAGGTCGGAGATGAAGGTATTTTTAGCTTTATATAAAATTGTAATAACAAAAGTTTGGTTAGACCTCTTTTTTGTCAGTGATTATTTTGACCAAAAAATTAAAGTCAGTATATAAATATAAAATTTAAAAAGATAAAAAGTTTTCAACTCAGAGAAAAAAATAATTCATTTTTATTCATTCTATAAAGTCATAGATTATTTTTCATTCATTTACACTAATTTTTACATTTTTTTACATTATAAAAAGTCAAAAATTGTTACTCAACATATCGATTATTATAATCTCATAATTTAATAAAAGAAGTCAAAAAAGATACATAAAAACACGATGTGAAATGAGATGAAAAACAAGAAGAAAATTTACAATTTTTTTTTTTTCAAAGGTTGACTCTTACACCAAAATAAATTATAAGTTTTCAGCTTTGTCAATTCAGATCATAATTTTTTAATTTATTTTTGTTAAACACTACAGGAAATATGGTGTTAGGCGGCGTTTTTTTAGCGGCGTTTTTTAAAACGCCATTGTTTCTAATATTTAACGGCGTTTTAGAAACGTCTTGTTTTTCTGTAATTGAAACGGCGCCGTTTCAAGAATCAAAGACGTTTTTTAAACGCCTTGGAATGTTTTTTTGTTCGGCCCCCTCCTTCTCTCCTGTTTCACCTTTATTTTGAATATGATAAGCAGTATAAGCGAAAATCTCAATCTCACTCTCGCGCTCTCACTCTCTCTCACTTTCGCGGTCTCTCTCTCTCCGTCTCTCTCGCCCTCTCTGCACTGTTCGAAGTTCTCGCTCAAAATCGATTCAGATCGGTGATTCATCCGAGCCATTTCGAAGTTCTCTCTCAAAATCGATTCAGATCGGTGAGCTACTCTCTCTCTC